CACTCGCATGTCTCCACACGAACGACCTGGATCGAGTCGTCTGTAACCTTTACAGAGTGGGCCGTATCCATAGTGTTGTCAGGATAAGGTACCCAGCCTTATCCATATACTATAGACCCTTTAGGTTATTCACGGGATATAAAATATATACCATTCATATATCGGGTTTATATCAAATATATACCCCGTATATCAACTATATACCCAGTATATATACTGTCCCAATTACATAAAAAAAAACCTTGGATGTTTAGTTTATTGGATTTTGGACAATGCAAAGCTATGATTCAACAACAAATTTATTGAATAAAACTTTATTAAATAGACATTTGTTTTTACAAAATACAAACTATGAGTTTAGTGCAACACACCCAACAAAGGCAAGAGACTAGTTGAACTCTATGCCAGCAGAATCTATTACCTCTTGGAATGACCTCGCCGAGAAATTTCTGATAAAGTACTTTCCCCCAAGCAAGAACGCCAAATTTAGAGGGACATCAACAATTTCCAGCAAAGAGGAGGAGAATCCGTGAGTGAGTCATGGGAAAGGTTTAAAGAGCTGCTCAGAAGATGCCTGCACTATGGTCTGCCAAAGTCTATTAAAATAGAAACATTTTATAATGTATTGAACGAAGCAACCAAAATGGTTGTTGATGCATCTACTAATGGAGCCCTGTTATCTAAATCGTACATAGAAACAGTGGACATATTGGAAAGAATCTCTTCCAATAATTACCATTGGTCAGATTCCAGAGCTATAAATGAYAGAGGCAACTATGAGGCTGCTAGCACTAATGAGATGGCCTCCCTGAGAGATCAAATTGCAATCTTAACCAACATGGTGAAGAACATGAGTGCTGCTACAGCATCATCCACTACCCCTGGATCAGGCAAGGTAATGGCAATCTCTTGTTTTTATTGTGAAGGCGATCATTCATATGACTCTTACCCAGGAAACCCAACATTAGTGTATTATTTGGGCAATCCTAGCAGAAAGAACCCCTACTCAAATACTTATAATCTAGGGTGGAGGCAGCACCCAAATTTTAGTTGGGGAGGAAATCAGGGTGGTCATGGAAATCAGAACACCGGGCATTATCAGCAGAAAACAGTCCAGCAACCACGATTATTGATGCCTAATCAACAGCAAGGCCAGTAGCTAACCCCTCAAATTCTATGGAAGCTTTTATGAGAGATTATATGGCCAAGAATGATGCATTGGTTCAAATCCAACCTGCTACTTTAAGAAATATGGAAGTTCAACTGGGACAAATGGCTATTGAATTGAAAAACAGGCCACAAGGTACCTTACCAAGTGATACTGAAAATCCTAAGAGGGAAGGGAATGAGCAATGTCAAGCATTGACTCTTCACAGTGGAAAGACATTACCATACTCATACCCATATCTAATGCAAGAAGATAATGTAGTACAGCAGGAGGAACCTCAGACAGAAAAGATAACTGAAAGTGTAGTAGAGAACATGACCACTGAAGAGAATGTAGTGAACGATGCTGGAGCATCAGCTAAGCAAATGGGACAACCAGAACCAGTGGCACAACAGGAAATTGTGAAGCAAAATTGAGCCTGAGATCAACAAAGGAAAGAGGGCAGCAGAAACAGAACCGGTTGAAGAAGTCTCGATGGAAACTCCAGTGCAAAAGAAAGTAAAAATTACAGTGGAGCATAAAGCACCCTCTCCTTACCCTCAGAGATTGCAAAAGAAAAGCCAAGACTTACAATTTGACTGTTTTTAAGAGGTGCTGAAGCAGCTCCATATTAACATACCCTTGGTGGAAGCACTGGAGCAGATGTCAAACTACGTTAAATTTCTCAAGGACATATTGGCAAAGTAAAGAAGATTATAGGAATTTGAAACGGTGGCTTTGACAAAGGAATGTAGTGCAATCTTGACAGGAAAGTTTCCTTAGAAAATGGGCGACCTAGGGAGTTTCACCATTCCTATGTCTATAGGAGGAAAGAATGTAGGGCATACTTTGTGTGACTTAGGAGCTGACATCAACCTTATACCCCTATTAGTGTACCAAAAGCTAGGGATTGGTGAAGCTAGACCTACAACCGTTACCTTGCAATTGGCAGATAGGTCCATTACACACCCTGAGGGTAAGAGTGAGGACGTTTTGGTGCAGGTGGACAAATTCATCTTTCCAGCAGACTTCATCATCCTGGACTACGAAGTTAACAAGGAAATCCCAATTATTTTAGGAAGACCGTTCTTATCCACGGGTAGAGCCTTAATAGATGTACATAATGGAGAGCTGACCATGAGAGTTAATGACCAGCAGGTGACATTTATTCTTTTTAATTCCATTAAATTCCCTGCTGATATAGAAGAATGCTCTTTGTTAAGGCTTGCAGATGATTTGCGGAGTGAAGAAATGCAAACGGAAGAGCTGCTAGACCAACTGGAGGAGGAGATAACCAAAATTTTCGAAGAAAAGGAAAAGGAAGCCAAGCTGATCCAAGGCAGACCAAATGAAGCCTCATCCGATAGAGTCTACAAGAAAGCATTTGAATCGTCGGAATTGAAGGACAGAGAGCAAGCGTCATTACAGTCATCTGTGGAGAAAGCCTCCAAGTTGGAGCTGAAGGTTCTGCCAACACATCTTAAGTACGCCTATCTTGGAAAAGCTGAGACATTGGCAATAAATATTGCAGCTGACTTGGCTGAAAAGAAAGAGTTTCGGCTGATAGAAATGCTGAAGAATCACAAGAGGGCCATTGATTGGACTATAGCAGACATAAAGGAGATCAATCCAAGCTATTGCATGCATAAAATCAATTTGGAAGAGGGTTGTAAGAACTCAATTGAACACTAAAGAAGGCTGAACCCTGCTATGAAGGAAGTAGTCAAGAAAGAAATCATCAAGTGGCTTGATTCTGGGATAATTTACCCAATAGTAGACAATGATTGGGTGAGTCAGTCCAATGTGTACCCAAGAAAGGGGGGATCACAGTGGTGCCAAATGGCAACAACGAGCTGCTTTCCACAAGGACCATAATAGGTTGATGGATTATAGAAAATTGAACAAGGCAACTATTTAGGGGAAAATGTTGCAGACACGTGGAGGACCCTTAGTGGTGTTCAAAAATAAAAGAATATTCCAGGTCCACCTCGAACCTGCCGAGGAGACCGAATTTGTCCATAAACAAGGCTAAGTGTAAAAAGCCGTGGTTCGATCTGGACGGGTTCGATCTGCTCAAACCCGACAGGTTCGACATGAAAAAAAACAAAGGTAACCGCTGGTCGTGAGTATTGTCGGACCCGCCACCTATAAATAGAGGGCCTCATTTCACGCTCAGGTATCGAATCTTACCTCGAACTTGATATTGAGTCTGACCTATACGGACTTGAGCGTCGGAGAGTTTGCCCTCTTGTGTAGGTTCACTCCAAGGTTCAGGTCGAGCCGGAGACCGGGTTCGAGCTAGGTTCGTGAATACCGTTGTGCAATTCTTTGCATAAACATTTGGCGCCGTCTGTGGGAAGGACAATTTAAGTCATCCCGATCTGAGAAATATACACCAAGATGGTTCAACCAGCGAACTCAACCAACACAGCAGGCCGAAGAGCTCTGGCTGCTAATAACGGCCTCTAGAAAGTGGTCGAGACGAAAGTGGCAGAGGATCAAATTCAGGAAGGCCTAGGGACCGAACAGCACCGTAGGTCGACACACATCACCACATTTGTCCTGCCACCAACACATCCTAAACTAACTAAGGCCGAGGTGGTGCCTCGAAAAGAACCACTCGAGGAGCAACTCCAGCTCCTACTAAGGAGAATTTTGATGCCCTCCAAAAAGAAATAGAGGCAATGCACACTCAGATGCGCACCATGGAAGATATGTATAATGAAATGGTGCAATCCGCTGGTGCCAGGTCTCGATCTGAAGACCGAGTGGTCCACGAAGAACTACACGAACGAGGGCACCTTCACCTCGACCCAGTCGACGAAGAGCACCCCAGAGGCGATGAAAATGTGGAGCATAATCGCCAGAGGGCTGATCTCCGCGACCATCTTAACAGAAAGAGAAGCTCGTCACACCGAGGAGGACAAACTCCAGCGTGCTCACACAAGAACTCCAACCAGCAGGCCGAATCCTCTTATAACCCAATAGTTCCCGAAGAAATGATCACGAGGGAGGAATTCGACCAGCTCAAGAGCAAATTTGATGCTCAAGTTGAAGCCTAAAAAGCAAGGTGTGAAAAGAAAGAGAGTGCATTTGATGATGGCAACTTGGGAGAATCGCCATTCACCTCGGATATCTTGGAGGCTCCAATCCCTCCAAAGTTCAAAACTCCCACCATGAAGCCATATGATGGGTCTAAGGACCGAAAAGATTATGTTGAGGTCTTTGAAAGCCTTATGGATTTTCAAGCGGCGACAGACGCCATAAAGTGCCGCGCCTTCCAGATCGCGCTTACCGACAGCGCGCGCTTGTGGTACAGGAGACTGCCGGCTAGGTCGATCTCGACCTATTCCCAGCTGAGGAAAGAATTTATTAGTCAATTCTCTTCTCGGCACTATGACAGAAAAACAACGACTCACCTCGCCACCATCAGACAGAAGGAGGGTGAGACGCTTAGAGAGTATGTCACCAGGTTCTAGGAGAAGTAGCTGAAAGTCGCGCACTGCTTCGATGACTCGGCCATGTGTTACTTTCTCACCGGCTTGGCCGATGAGACCCTCATTATGAAACTTGGAGAGGAGGCTCCAGCCACCTTCGCCGAGGTTCTRCAAAAGGCGAAAAAAGTTATTGGTGGGCAAGAGCTCCTCCGGACCAAGACTGGCCGACAAGAGAAGAAAATCGACCAGAAGAAATCCGGCCAAGACAAGAGTAAGGCTGATTCCAAGTCCAAGGACAAGGGGTCATCCTCCTCCAACAACTGGACTGATTATCGTAGGTCGGACAGCAGTTCCAGCCGAGGCCGACCTCACGGATGATATACCCCAACCACCATCCCCATCTCAGAAATACTTACGAACATTGAAGAGACTGGGATGGAAAAGCTCCTCAAGCGATCTAAGAAGCTCTAATGAGACCTAGATAAGCGCAACAAAGATAAGTACTGTCGTTTTCACCGTGACCACGACCATAATACATCGAGTTGCTGGGAACTCAAACGCCAGATTGAAGACCTCATTCAAGATGGCTATTTCAAAAAATTTGTCGGGAAACCAAGATCCAACTAGGTAGAGAAAAAAGATGAGAGGAAGCGTTCAAGGATACCACCTCGCCGAGATGACCGACCTGCGGTCATTAATACTATCTTTGGAGGCTCAATCGGGGGCCAGTCTGGAAACAAAAGGAAAGAATTAGTTCGAGAGGCCAGGCGCGAAGTGTGCATAGGGAGCAAAGACCGACCTGCTCCATCACCTTCAATGACTCCGACCTAAAGGGGGTCCACCTGCCCCATAATGATGCCACTCATAATCACCCCTCTCATCGACCACGTCCTAGTCTGAAGAGTATTGGTAGATGGGGGTGCATCTGCCAATATTCTATCTCTTACAACATATCTTACCTTGGGGTGGACTAGGGCATAATTGAAGAAGAGTCCAACACCTTTGGTTGGATTTTCTGGAGAATCGGTCTTCCCAGAAGGGTGTATTGACTTGCCGGTCATGATTGGGCAAGATAATACACAAGTCACGCAGATGGCCGAGTTCGTCATGATAGACGGCAGGTCGACCTACAATGCTATCTTTGGGAGACCCATCATCCACTCATTCCGGGATGTTCCCTCAACACTTCACCAAGTTTTGAAGTACTCAACTCCCAATGGGGTGGGCACAATCCGAGGAGAGCAGAAGACATCAAGGGAGTGTTATGCCTCTACATTCAAAGGGTCATCGGTGTGCGTCCTCGAAAAACAAACCAAATGGGCTGAAAAACAGGAGTCAGAGGCCGACCTGCCTAGAGAAGGCAAGAGGGAGTTCTCTGCACCAACAGAGGAGCTCGAGCTTGTTCCTTTGCTAAGTCTTGAAAAACAAGTAAGCATAGGAACCAAGCTGAGGGCCACCGATAGGGAAGAACTGATCAACTTCCTCAGGTCCAACTCAGATGTTTTTGCATGGTCCCACGAGGACATGTCTGACATAGACCCAAAGATCATGGTGCATCGACTCAACATAGATCCATCATTCTGACCTGTAAAGCAAAAGAGAAGACCTGTAAATAAAGAGAGGAGTGATGCAATTGTTGAAGAAGTGAACAAACTTTTAAAAGCTGAATGTATAAAAGAAATTATGTATCCCGAGTGGCTCCCTAATGTTGTATTAGTTAAAAAATCTAATGGGAAGTGGAAAATGTGCGTAGATTTTACAAATTTAAACAAGGCATGCCCAAAAGACTGCTTCCCACTGCCAAGGATCGACCAGCTCGTAGACGCAATAGCCGGGCACGAGCTGCTCACCTTCATGGATGCCTATTCCGGATACAATCAAATTAAAATGCATGTGCTAGATCAAGATCATACTGCATTCATAACAGACGAAGGTGTGTACTACTATAGGGTTATGCCCTTCGGCCTCAAGAACGCAGGTGCGACCTACCAAAGAATGGTGAATAAGATGTTCGCCAAGTAGATCGGTCAGAATATGGAAGTATATATGGACGACATGCTTGTCAAGAGCAAGCAGTCAAAGTCGCATATTTCCGATTTGACCGTAGCCTTCAAAGTTTTACGGAAGTATCAAATGAAGCTCAATCCAACCAAGTGTGCCTTTGGAGTCTCCTCGGGTAAGTTCCTCGGCTTCATGGTAAACAACCGTGGAATCGAAGCCAACCCAAAGAAGATAAAGGCCGTGCTCGAGATGGAAGCACCCAAAACTCTTAAGCAGCTTCAACACCTCAATGGAAGGATTGCAGCCCTAAATAGATTCGTTTCGAGATCAACCGATAAGTGCCTTCCTTTCTTCAAAGTTTTGAGAAAGAAATGACCATTTGAGTGGACGACAAAGTGCGAGCAAGCCTTGGATCAATCGAAGACCTATCTTTGCTCGACACCATTGCTCGCCAAACCTTTGCCGGGAGATAAGCTCCACTTGTATCTGGCGGTATCTGATAGTGCCGTCAGCTCGGCCCAAATCAAGCAGGAGGGAGTACGCCAAAGTCCAGTTTATTACACAAGTAAGGCCATGACCGATGCCGAGACCAGGTATCCACAAATAGAAAAGCTGGCCCTCGCTTTGGTCACCTCGGCCCGAAAACTTAGGTCGTATTTCCAAGCACACCCCATTGTGGTGCTCACTAATTTGCCCCTGAAGAACATCTTCCATAGGCCAGAAACATCAGGACGCCTGATGAAATGGGCAATGGAGTTGAGTGAGTACGATATACAGTTTGAGCCCAGAGCGTTGAAGGGGCAAGCAGTTGCAGACTTCCTCGCAGAGCTCACTCCACCATCTCTGTCCGTCGAATCTGACCTTCTGTGGACGATCTATGTGGATGGATCTTCCAACGAGAGAGGGTGTGGAGCAGGAATCCTCTTGCTTGCACCAGATGGCATGCGGTTTGAGTATGCCTTACGCTTCAGCTTCCGAACTTCAAACAATGAGGCTAAGTACGAAGCACTTTTGGCAGGACTTCGCGTTGCCAAAGGACTGGGCACCCTCTACATCAAGGTCTTCAGCGACTCCCAATAGGTGGTAAATCAAATCAAGGAAGAATATCAAACAAAAGACTCCCAGATGGAGAAATACTTAAGTAAAGTCAGATCGCACCTCTCCCAGTTC